GCTCTTGTCTACTTCTCTCCTCTTTGTGTTACAGTCTAGGACTTCTGCCAGTGCAACACGGAATTATTCCCAGCAACAGGTACTAGGGTGGAGTTGTCAGGTACTTGCCAGCACAGTGTCGGCCAGGTCATCTCCCAGAACTGCATGGCCACTCTCTGCTCCTGGGATACCTTGCAGAGGCGCGAGTGTGTGGTGCTGGCCTTCTTTAACTTAGTGTGGTGTCCTCAAGGGGTGCCTGTGTGGGTCCCCTTGATTCTGTTGTAGGGACACGCCGCGGTTTATGCCTGTGGATGGGCAGTTGGAAGGCTCCCACGTGCTGGTTTGTGAATTAGGCTGCAGTGAACGTGGGTGTGCAGTGTGCAGGCGCCTCTCTGAGCTCTGGATTGACATTCTCTTGGTCAGTACCAGGCTTGGGACTGCTGGGTTGGGTGGTGGCTCTTTTGTTTTCTATGAGGGACTTCCTCCCTGCTCTCCACAGTGGCTACAGCATTCACTTCCCCACCAACAGCACAGAAGGGTTCCACTTGCTCTGCGTCATCGCCAACTTGGGTTTTTATCTGTATTGTTCAAAGGATGGCCGTCCTGGCGGTGTCCGGCGATCTCACTGGGGGCTTTGACCTGTGCTGCCCTGATGGTTTATGGTGCGGAATGTCTCTTCATACAGCTCTTGGCCATTTGTGTGTCTTCTTTGAAAAACTATCTATTCAGTTCCTTTGCCCAAGTTTTTGAGATTTACTTATTTAATGTCAGAATTAGAGGGGGGGAGGGGGAGAGGGGGAGAGGGAGGGAGGGAGGGAGGGAGAGAGAGAGAGAGAGAGAGAAAGAAAGAGAAAGAGAAAGAGAAAGAGAAAGAGAAAGAGAAAGAGAGAAAGAAATCTTCCAGCTACTGGTTCACTCTCCAGATGGCCACAATGACCAGGGCTGGGCCACGCCAAAGCCCCAGGAGCTTCATCCAGGTCTCCCACAAGTATGCGGGCCTTCTGCTGCTTTTCCCAGAGAGCTGGGTCAGAAGCAGAGCAGCCAGGACAGGAACTGGCGGCCGTACCCACTACACCACGACGCCAGCCCTTCCTGGCCTGTGTTTCCATTGGGTGATTTCTTTGGTTGTGTTTGTCCTTGCTGTTGAGCTCTGTATATATTTTGGATGCTAACCCCTTATTAGGTAGATCCCATGATTTACAAATATTTTCCCCCGTTGCACAGTGATTTCTGTCTTCGCTGTGTTTGTCTAATTTTGTTTTTGCTGCCTATGCTTTAATGTAATAGAAGTGCTTGCCAAGACCAGTGTTGTGGAGCTTCCCCGACATTTTACTCTAGGAGTTCTACAGTTTTGGGTCTTGGTTTAGGTCTGATCTGTCTTGAGTTCATCTTTCTGTGTGGTGTACAATAAGGGTTCACTTTCATTCTCCTGCCTGTGGAATCCACTTTTCCTACACCATCAGTTGAAAGCACTGTCTTTGCATTGGGTGTTCTTGGTGTGCAGTTTGACGGTTTTGAGTTTATTGATGGACTGTCTTTTTTTAATTAATTAATTTAAAAGAGTAAGAAAAAGAGAGAGAGAGCTCTTCTGTCTGCTGATTCACTCCCCAAATGGCTGCAACAGCCCAGGCTGGGTCAGGCTGGGCCAGGAGCCTCATCTGGGTCTCCGTGAGGGTGTAGGGACCAATGCACAGTGGCCATCTTGCCTGCTTTTCTCAGGCTCATCAGCAGGGAACTGGACTGGAAGTGGAGCCGCTGGGACACGAACCAGCAACCATTCGGGATGTAGCTTAAATCCGCTATATATCTATATATCTGTCTTTATGCCAACACCATACTGTTTTGATTACTCTAGCTTTGTACTATGTTTTGAAGCCATAGAAAGTGTGAGGCCTTCAGCTTCAATACTGCTTTGGCTATTTAGAGTTCTCGGTGTTTCCATATAAATTTTAGGATGATATTTTCTATTTATGTAAAAATGTGATTGGTATTTTGATAGAGATGTATTGACTTTGTAGAAGTTTTGGGTGTTATAGACAGTGAACATACTAAGTTATGTTACTAATTAGTAACTAAGTTACTAGTCTGTAAACATGGGATGTCTATTTGTGTCAACAAAAAAAACCTGTTAGAAGTAATAAATCCAGCGAAGCTGCAGATGTGAAAGTCAGCATCTGAAAATCAGTGCACTTCTCTACATGAGGATGCTTCGAAAAGTCTGTGGAACAGAATTAAAAGGTTATTTATTTTGGTGCAAGAAAATTTTGAGATCCGTACATATTTTTTTTCCACAGTATGCAATTTCCATGAGCTTCTTTAAGACTTTTTGTACAGTAACAACAATATGAAAATAAATTAAGAAAGTAATTCCATTTATAGTAGCTTCATAATGAATAAAATAGGAATAAACTTAAGAGACCAAAGACTTCTGTACTGAAAACTATAAGACATTGCTGATCTTTTTTTTCCAGCCCTCAAAGATTTCTTAATTTACTTGAAAGTCAGAGTTAGAGAGAGAGGAAGAGACAGAGGTCTCCATCTGCTGGCTCACTCCCCAGTGGCCGCAATGGCCAGGGCCGATCCTGGCTGGAGCCAGGAGCCAGGAGCCAGGAGTTTCACCTGCGTCTTCCAAATGGGTGGCCGGGGCCCAAGCACTTGGGCCAACGTCTGCTGCTTTTCCTGGGCCGTTAGCGGGAGCGGGATTGGAGGAGGAGCAGCCGGGACAGAACCGGCTCCCACGAGGGACGCTGGCGTTGCAGGCCCGGCTTCACCCTTTGTGCCACAGCACCGGCCCTGTTGCCGATCTTTGGAGGGAACTTGAGCTGTGTTTGCAGGGCCACGGTGGGTTGCGGGTGGGCTGATCTGGTAAGCAGCTTCAAACTGGGTGGTTAGGGGCTGCCCCGTTTCTCCTTCCCGCCGATGGACTCTGCGGTGCAGGTGAGTGAGTACGAAGAGTGTGTGAGCTGAAGCGCTGGCCGCTGTCCTGCGGAGCCAGCTTCCTCCTCCTGCTCCTCAGAGTGGCATTCGTACAACCTGGCACACGTGCTAAGGGGTAGCCACACCAGTTCTTCTTGGAAAACTCTCGTTTTCATGTTCGACGAGAAGACATTTCAGCGTTCCCCACGTTGCCCGTGGACGTGACTTGTCAGAGTCTGAGCAAGCACAGCTGGGGGACGTCCAGGAACGGAGGAAGGGGCGTGGCCGCTGACCACGTGCCGGATGCTTGGCACCGTAGCCCAGCCCATCCTCCTAAGCTCTGGGGTAGACGTCTGTCCCGCTGCTCAGGAGGAAAGCCAGGCTTGGGGGAGTAGCAGCAGGCTCCCTCTTGCTCCGAGTCCGGAATTGAAGCGGGAGCCGCTGGCCTCAGAGCCGGCTCGCTTCTCTTCCCACAGCCGGTGGCCCGAGCCCCAGAGAAGGGACCAGAGTGTTTGCGTAGTTACGAGCCCTTGTGCCCGGGAAGGCTGCCTGGGAGGGGGCCTGAAGACAGGCTCCGAGTCCACAGTGGAAAATTCCCAGTCTCAGTAGCAGACGTCAGGGTGAAGGAGTGCTGGGGTTAATCTTGTGATGCTTAGGTCACAGGTCCCCTGGGGGTGGGGGCCTGGGGCCCTGCACGTCTGGACAAGCAGGGAGGAGGCCTCACCTGCTGGCCTGGCTCTGCGCTGCACCCGAGGGCCAGTCGCGAGCTGGCTCCTGTTGCCTTCAGCTGTAGCAGGAGCCACTTCCGCGGCCTGTGGGCTGCGCTGCAGGAGGTGGCTTTGCTCCCAGAAAGTCACCCAGAGCCAGCCTCATGGCCTTGCAGTCTCCTACCAGTCGGCCCCTCAAGGTGATTAGAAATTCACTGGTGGGTAGGACCGAGACCGGGCGTGGAGCTCGGCGGGGGCCAGGCGTTTTGGCCTTGTCGTCTGCGGTCCCTTGCTGTCAGTTTAGCAAATGCTGTGTTCGTGTCGCCTTTTTTGTTGCTGTGGGCAGGACTTTTCTGGACGGCGGGGGACGCTGCTGTAGCCTGCAGCTGGCACCACCGCACCAGCCGTGGTGAGGGTGTGGAGGGAAGGCCGACAGGCTGCGGCGCGGACACAGCATCGGGGGTGGACGCCGTGCTCTGGGGTCACTGCCCAGCCTCGCCGCGTTCACCAGCGATGCATGGCCAGGAGAGGAGAGCGTTGCCTCCTCCTGCCGCGGAGGGAGGCCAGCACGCGGCCTGTGTACCCACCTTGGCCCCTCTCTACGCGCGCCCGCGGCCGTCGGGGAGCCTGGGAGCCGGGGCGGATGGGCCGGGGCCGGGCCTCAGCGCCAGCGCTGGCGTGGGCGTCTCCTGCGCACGCGGCGCGGCCGGTTCGTGGGGGTTAGCAGCCGCGCGCCCGCGCCCGCTCGCTCCAGCCTGGAGCTGACATCACGGAGGCGCGAGCGGGGAGGAGTCTGCCCGGCTCCCTTTGTGGCCGCGCAGCGCGGGGCGGACGGCGGCGCAGAGCGGGCGGGACCCGGACCGGACGACGCTGTGGTGGCCGCAGCGCGGGGCGCGTCATGCGGGACCCTCGGCCGGGAGCGACCCCCCGAGAATGCGACTGCCCTGGCCGAATAAGATGGTAAAGGGGGCGGGCGAGGGCTGGCTGCTGCTGCCTGGCTCCACTCCCGCGCCAGGCGCCCCCGGGGCGGGAGGGAGCTGCTGCGGGCGCGGGGTCCAGCGGGGGCGGGGGTCCCGGGGGTCTTCCGCAGCCGCGGGAACGGAGCTTGCTCCGTGGCTGAGGCGTGGAGAGCCGCTCAGACTTTTCTGCTGATCAGTGACTTTCCCTCTGCTCAAGTTTAAAAGTTGATCAGGACGGAGACACAGTTCCTTAATGGGGCAAAGCAAGCTTTTTAAAAACCCGCAGGATACGTGGCCCGGGACAGCGGCGCTGGCAGGGGCCGGGTCGGGCGATGCCCCCCCCCTCGCAACGTCTGTCCGCCAGCCAGTCCTTGCCTTCGGGGCGGCCTCAGAGACCGAGGTTGGCAGAAGGAAAATCCTTTCTTTCTGTTTCTCCTAGAGCTCGACTCAGGACTGGGGCGAAGAGGTAGAGGAAGGAGCTGTTTACCACGTCACTCTCAAGAAAGTCCAAATCCAACAGGCTGCCCACAAAGGGGCGCGGTGGCTGGGGGTGAGTACCCGCCGGGGCCCCTGCCCGGGACTCCGGGCGGCTCTCCTCCGCGGCTCCTAAGCTCTGTTTTTGTGTTTGCTGTTTTCCAAAGTGTCTTCCCCGGCTTTGTCAATCATTTAGAATCTCTTAGAAGCGACTAGAGGTCTGGAAAGCAGATGAGGGGTGGACGGGCAGAGTCTGGCGTGGGGAGCAGCGCCAGGGCAGCACCTGCCTCTCCCTGCCCCACACCCCTCCTCCCGGAGCAGCCCCTTGCTCAGCGGCCCCTCCAGCTTCCTCCGTGACCTCTTCTCTGAGGGGCCACCAGGCTTGGCCAGTGCTGGACAAGTGGTGGCCTCTGGGAAGACACCGTTGTAGTGGTGTCTTCCCACCGAGACACTCATCTCGGGAAGCGGGCAGCTTGGCAACAGGCTCACCACGGGGCCAGTGCGGACATGAGCGGGGGCAGGGAGGGGGCGCCGTGGGGCCGGCCTGGGTGCCGTCGGGGGAGCCTCTTGCCGTCGGCACTGGCGTTGAGTTTCAGGAAATTCAGACGTGCAGCGTGAGGCAGGGCCGGAAACAGAGCTGCCCGGGGCCGGGGTGGGTGTGCGTCCCGGGGAGCTTCCGGCCAGAGGGCCCGCGGCCGCTGTCCCGGGCCGGGGGTCTGCTGACACGGACATCCTTCTGCTTCCCTCTGCTTCCCCAGCTGGCAGCTCAGGCCTTGCCCGTGCTCGGGCCATGGGCCGGGAGGTCCTCAGTGCTGTGGGCAGGGGTGCGTTTCCATCAGGCTCCGGACAGCCTCCTGTATCAGACAGGTGGCCGTGGCCTCGCCTCTGCCTCGCCAGCAGACCTGAGGGAAGGAAGCAGAAGTAGGCTTCTGACGAGTCATCGCTTTGTGTTTGGTTGGGATGTGGTGTGGATGTGGTTTGGCTCTTTGGCTCTGGCAGGGCGACGCTCAGATTGCGAGCTGGAGTCGGAAGAGCCCGTGAGCCGGGCGTTGCTCGGCCGCAGGTCCTGTGTTTGGTCAGACATGGCAGCCGGAGTGAGTCCTGGGGCTGCTAAGTTTTCCCCGCGGTAGCCTGTGCCCGGGGCCTGCTCCTCTCCTGTCCCCTCCCCGTGCCCTCACACCAGGAAGAACTTAGCGCACTGCACTCTGGATTTCACAGTCAGCGGAGACGCCTTGCACGCCCGGCTTGTGGCTGCCGCCAAGGCCCTCAGATCCCCTCCTCCCACGCTGTGGGTTCTCCTGGCCTCAGCGTTCCATTGGGAAACTCTGTGTTTGTCCTTGGAAACTCCAGGCTTCTTCAGATGGACCCAGCCAGGAGCCCTGGTCATAGCAAATCTTTCTCTCTGGGGCCTGTGGCTTCCCATGTCTTCCTGCATTCCAGGGCGCTCCGCAGGGAGCCGCGGGGCAGCCATTGTAGGGTTAACTGGAGACTGAGGCGAGGGGGGGTGAGGGGCCTTGGATGGCAGTGTTGGTGCTGCCTTCTCCAGTCCAGAGAGACCACAGCACGGCGGGGAAGCGGCAGGGCCCAGGTGTGCACCCGCACGGACGGCCTCATGCTGTCGACAGCAGCCCAGGGGCTCGGGGTTTGTGGAGTGGGAGAGAGCGTTGCTGAAAGGGGCAGAGACGCTCGCTGGCGAGGCCGAGTGCCGCTTGCTGCCCCTTCCTCATGCTGAGTGCTCCCCGCCCCTTCCTCAGGCTGAGTGCTCAGCTGAGCTGCGGACAGAGGGGTGTGTCGTCAGATGCAGAGTGTCTTACTGATAGACTCCCCGTTTGGGAGTGTGCTGAGACCCGTGCCAGGCTGTGTGTGTGGGACGGCGGGCAGAACTGCACCCCACGGCCCAGGCGTTCACTCTGCAAGCCCGGAGGCCGAGGCAGCTCCTGCTTCCGGCTGCTGAGGTCTCCAGTGCAGTCCAGGTTCAGCGCTGGGAAGAGCAGAACAGTTGCTCATCCTCAGGTGGCAGAAGGTGTAGCCCAAACAGTTAGGGCTCATTCCCTTTGTTTGTTTCTTACATTTTACGTGGAGTTGATATTTTGAAGTCAAACCCGGTGTCTCTGGTTATAAAATACAGCGCCGGGTAAGCCCAGGCCGGCCTCTCTGTGCGTGCAGTGCCGGTCCTGCCCACTACAGCGAGGTGTCCACTAGCAACTGGGAAAAACCAAATATTATTGAAACTCTTTAATAAATGATTTATTTGAGTGGCAGAGAGAGGGAGGGGAGGGAGAGGGAGAAGGGTGTCTTCTGTCTGCTGCCTTGCTCCCCGGATGGCCACAATAACCTGGGCTGGTCTAGGCCAAAGCAAGGAGCCCGGCTCTGTCCGCGTCTCCCACGTGGACGCAGGCTCTCAAGCACTTGGGCCGTCTTCTGCTGCTTTCCCCGGCCATTGGCAGGGAGCTGATGGGAAGTGGGGCAGCTGGACTTGAACCAGGGCTCTGACACCGAATGCTGGTGCTGCAGGCCACTGTTGAACCTGCTGCTCTGTAACGCCTGTCTTTGTTAGTGAATTTCTGACCCCTTTTTCCCTTTAAAATCTTAAGTTTAGATAATTTTACCCAATTACAGTTTTCAAAGAAAAATGACTCTCTGTCATAGAATCATAAAATCTTAGGATTGGAAGAGAAACTAACTTCATTTCATATCCATCCCCTTAACTTGTAGTGGCTGGTGGGTTTGGGAACAAGCGGTGAGAACCGCCTGTTTGTCTGTGGCCCAGCTCCGAGGCCGCACATCGACAGGGATGGGTAGAGTGAGTAAGGAGAGCAGAGTCCGGTGCCTCCTTCTAGGGCAGGGGCTCCAGGGGCAGAGGACTACGGTCCCCTCTTAGCAGTGGGGCCAGAGTGTGACAGCCACGGCCGCGGGGCCAGGAGGACCCTGTCGGCCTGAGATGGGCTGGAGGAGAGGACGTTGGTCTCACAGGTGGGATCACAGGCCGTGCCTTCCCTCCGGGCACTTGGTGGCCCTGCCCACCGTATCCCTGGGTAATCAGAACCTTACGGTGAGGCATTGCATGTTAGACTATGCAGCGCGCACAAGGAAAGCACTTAGACTGCTACCAGGAGTAAGCATTTTGTTTTGTAAACCAAGCAGGGAAAGTGGTGGTTGCAGAGGCGATGCTTTGAAGTGTGGCCTCGCGGTGCCCAGCCCGTCCGGCGTCTGGGGTTGCTTCGGGTTCTCTGGAGCCGGGGGAAGCTGGTGGTTTGGGTCAGAGTGTGCGGATCACTCGAACACAGCCAGCGTGACCCCTTGCTGTGGCTGCATGTCTGTCTCTTCCTGCGATTCTGTGACAGGCACCCGAGGAAGCCCTGTTGAAGGCAGCCCCCTGCCCACCCCCCGGAGTCTCCAGAGTGCAGGGTGGGCAGCCACTCTGTGTGCTCAGGGACTTGCAGGCAAGGCGGAGAAGAGAGTTGTGCCACTGCCGTGTGTTTGCTCCTCATTTTGTTTTTAAAGGTTTATTTTTATGTGCTTGAAAAGCAGAGTTACAGAGAGAGATGGAGCAACAGAGAGAGAGAGAGAGAGAGAGAGAGAGAGGGAACGATCTTCCATCTACTGCTTCATGCCCCATTTGGGCACAACAGCCTGGGCTGGGCCAGACTGAAGCCAGGAGTCAGGAGCTTCCTCCAGGTCTCCCACGTGGATGCAGGGGCCCAAGGACTTGGGTGATTCTCTGCTGTTCTCCCAGGCCATAGCAGAGAGCGTTTTTGGAAGAGGAGCAGCCAGTACTTGCACCGGCGCCCAAATGGGATGCCGCAGGTGACAGCTTAACCCACCGCACCACAGTACCAGCTCCACTTTTGCTCCTTTACCTGTGTCGTTCCCACTGGTGTTTCTGGCTAACCCTCGGAGCGACGCCTGTGAGTTTCGGTGGGGGCGGCTGGGTTCCTCCGAGCGACCTCTCTGTCACTTGGCTCTTGCCTCTCACCGTGGCCGTGGTGGTGCTTGGGGTGGCTGTTTCCTTCGCTCTCCCAGACGCGTGGCCGTTAGCCGTCGGAGTCTCAGCCGGTGCTCCCGTTCGCTGGGTGTCTCCTCTGCGGAGAATCTGCACTTGTCTCCTGCTGCTGTGCCTGCAGGAGTGAGGCTGCTGCATCCCCTCCGGTGCGAGTGCAGGTGGCGTGAAGCCCGCTCTCTGCCTCGCGCCTGCGACTGACCCCTGGCGATGGAGTGGGCACCCACAAACAGTTTGTCTCTAACACAAGGACGTCTGGTGTGTGCAGGCAGAAATGGAGGGGTGGAGATGGACACGGCGGGGGGGGGCGTGCGTCCCAGGCGCGCTGGGGCTCGGCAGCGTGAGGCTGCTCTGCGAAGCTCGGGGAGAGCTGGCGTCCGGCCTCAAAGGACACACGGCTTAGCCCGGCTCACGGGGACCACAGCCGCCGGGCCTGGCCCGGTCTTTCTCGTCTGCGCGGCCTCCATGGGAGCCGGTGCCCCGGCTCTCCCTCTTTAGGGTGTTGCCAGCAGGAGCCCCCCACCCCCGGCGTGGGGTGAGGCAGCCGAGGTTGGCGTCAGGAGCCTGCACTTTGGAGCTCCCCTCTGCTGACTGGAGCTGCTGGGGCGTGAGCTGCCGGCAGCTCGCCAAGCCTGGGCCCCTCTCCTGTGAAGCGGGGTGATGCCTGCGATAGGGGGCCTGGCCTGAGGCCCCAGGGTGCTCCCCTGCTGCACCCTGGTGCCTGGGGCCTGTGGAGCTCCATCTTGATTAAGACAGGGTCAGAAAGCTTGTAAGACAGGCTCTGCCAGCAGGTCCCACCCTGCGCTCTGAGGGTGCGATGGTCGCAGCAGGGCTCCATGCCCCGGGTCGGTGGCAGTGGCACGCTCACACGCGTGCCTGCAGTTTTCTGAAGTTAACTGTTGCTGTTCTTATTTTTGTGCTTTCTAGGAAAACTTAGCACTGAACAGTAGGCCATGTTCTGTCTTAGCATTTGGTGGAAAAGTGGGAAGGGAGGAAGCAATTTGTCTAAAAATTTTGCTGGTTTCTCTCAGTGAGTGTTGGCATGTCAGCCTGTTGTACTGCCACTGTAAGCATTA